ACATGATAACTTAAATCTGAAAAAAATGACGATTTTCAGTGAAAACTAACAGCACTCCTATTTGGCGAATCAAAATCTATAAAATTTACTATGCTTTTACATGTCCATTGGTGGACAAAAAACGGTCTTTTTTTAACATTGTTCTTTATATCTGGTTTCTATTTTTAGGAACTATTATTATTTTTTATGCCGTAAATTATATTTTATAATATCGAATAATAAGCTAATATCGAATAACAAGCTAATAGTGATACCTATTAGATGCACTCAGTGGTATATAGAACTATTGTACATAAATTGTCATAAAAGTATGTTTAATTTATGTTTAATATACATAAATATAAACAAATAGATAAAATCACTTTATTGTACTCTCTGTTAGATAAAATAAGTATTTTATAATTCGAAATATTTGCATTTTATTTTTTATAGCTAGATTAAATCAGTGTACAATGATATGAAGATGTATTAAAACGGCCAACCGCTCTAAGACGTACATAAAATCAATTCGCAGAGTCGCAAAAACAGTAACTTGTAATGTTTTATATAGTCACGCAGTTCCATGTATTTTCATTAACTCCTTTGGCAAAAACTAAATTTGATTAAAATTTTATTAGCATCAGATTGCTTATCACTTTAATTTGTAATATTACATATTCTAGTTTCTGATATTGTTTCAAAATCAGCAAATATTGGTGCGCAGTTGTTTAAACTAGAAATTATAAGAATTCACAATAATATTAGTTTGATCAAATGAAAAAGTGACGAGTATTGTAGGAACCATCTCCAGTATATCAAAAAGTCCATTATGCATATTTAGTGTTGGTAACATATGTGATATTACGTGTGCATGACATCACGTGTATATGACATGTTCTTGGATAAGAGGCATTGGTAACGAGCACAGTTAGTGTTTTACCGTTCAGTTCGCTAGTTAAGAGGATAAACAGCGTTTTAACAGAAAATTTATCTGATAAACAACAACGTGCGGTGATACGGTTTCTAACTAATTTTTAACTGATAGAAATATTTTACTGATAGATATTTATTTCATTTTTACATAAACATTTGTCGTGTATAGCAAAGATTTGTGTCACAAAAGACAAAATGAATGATCAGCATCGTATCTTCAGATTAGAAATTCAATTAGAAAATGTATTATTGCGCGTTCTTCATCAGTCGAATTTTCCAGTCAAAACGCCATTTATCCACTTGACATCCAGTTAATTGGATAATAAAGCAACTAATTGTACTTGTTACCAACGCCTCCTATTCAAAAGTACGTGACGTCACACACATGTTATGCACACGTAACATCATATATGTAGCCAACATCAAATATGCATAACAGATTATTTGGTATTATGCCGGAGGTGGTTGCTACAACACTTGTCACCTTTTCATTTGACCGAACTAATATTATTAAACATCAAAATTCGTTTTCATCAAATATAATCGATCCTCTGATTTGTGTTAAATTTGATCATTATATACTTAATTATATTTAGATTTATTTAACTTTAAGTTAAGACACACAGATAATTAAATTGTATTAAATTATATGAGAACATTAATTAGAACATAACTGATAATTAAAATTACATAAATTCTAACTTACGTTTTACATGAAGTAAACAACATAATCCGTAACGTTCTATGCGTGTAAAAGATTTTTATAAAATTCGTACTACTTACTAAAAAAATATAATTATACATTTCTCCATTAGCAAGTTTACATACATGCAAGCTTCAATATTTCATTTTACTTTTTTTTTATCCGTCAGAATATTTTATATAAAAATATATTTCAATAAAATATTCTCGATGTTTGCGAAATTCTTCATAAAAACATGGACAATCAAATGGATTTAAAAATTATATTATGCAAAAAATGTCTGACATTTTTTGCTATTAACTCTTTTACTGTAAATATTTAAAAAAGAAAAAACAAAATGTATACAAACTTTATAATATTTACATGCTAGTAAATTGCTTCTGCTGAGCAAACTTTCCCGATAAATTCACATTACAACGAAGTCGCAAAATAGCCAGCACATCATTGAATATTCATCAGCCAAATATCAAATTTTCTACTATTATTCGAATAGAGAAACGCAACGAACCAACATTAAAGAAGTAATAGGTACGCTGAAAATGCCTTTTCGTTTCGACTCGTATAGCAGCGAATGAACATTGACGATCGACGAAGGAGGCCACATTCGCTGGGTATAATAAAAGCAGCGCTCACTCGTCGAGCAGTGAACCTTTGGCAATATTGAATAGCATGATCGCAGGGCAAGGGACCGAGCTGTAAAACCATCGATTCGCTTGTTGAGCACTGCACCTACCAGACCAGTGGACGAGCTCGGACACGAATACGTGTCTGATCAATGCTCAACTGCACTACTGAAAATTAGAAACGAAATTCTCAAACGGCATGGAATATTTACGGTGTAACCAGTTGATACAATACCATTAGACGATGAAAATTTTAATAGCTAAATAGAGAACATTTTTATAACGGTATTTTGTTAAAATTTGTTCTTATTTTCGAAAGAATGTTATTTAAAAAAATTGGAATACAATTAATATATTTAGGTTTATATAAAAATATTTCACTAGCGAATAGAAAATATTTAAAATAAATAACTAATTGTAAGATAATTTTTTAATACTTTTAATGATTAAAAATGTCAGTTTATAAACTTACATAAAAATTTCAGAGTATATTAAAGTAATACGATCTCAAAAATTTGAGTCTGCCTATGCTAAGCTTGCGAAAAAATTTACCGGCGCGCAAAATATTTCATAAGGACGAGAATCGACGTTATTCACCGGCCGATGAATGATTGGTCGTTACCAAAAAATGGAGCCGATAATCGAATTTTCCAGTATGATCCATCATGCACGCTAGCGGTGTGGTACGATTATCGATTATCACTGAACGGTGTAGCGTGTAGCATTCCGCGCAACACCGCTGTCGCGATTAATGCTTAACAATATACGCCGTGGATTAAGTGCACTCGGCAAGAGTAATCGATGTTGGTACCTGACGGTCTGTAAATGACTGATCGACGCGGTTTCCGCATCCCCGCGTTTCTGTCTCACGTCACAGTGCCATTGTTCGCCAACTAATTAAATTCTCCTCCAGATTAATTTGAAGATCTTGTGCAAACAGAGAACGGAGAAGTCGCGCCGATTATTGTTGCTTGTTATAATAATCGATAACTAGGTATATGGAGGAGGATCAACTAGTGACAACCAAGTACAGTTGATGGAACAAAACCTCTCGTTAGATATTGCTTGTTAGGAAAATAAGACATACTGTGCTAATAGCTATTATGTCTGACTGTATACGACCATCCCTCAAGCATAATGCGTTTCTCAATATTGTAGATGCTTTGTGATAGATAAGTATAAATTAAGAAGATCAGTTTGATTTAATAATATTAGAAAATATATATTTGAAAATCTATAATATTTTGATAATTTTAAAACATTATCACCATAAATTGTTTAATTTGTTATAAAATATAATGAAAAAATTTCAATTTCAGAAAAATAATAAAAAAGAAAATTTTTTAGATAAAGGACATACGTGTGTGCATGATAAATCTTTAAATATATTATAAAAATTTTTTTTCCATTCCATAATAATTATTTTTAGTAAAAAATATAATAAAACATTATAATACAATCAAAATGAGAAATTAATAAATCAAACTTAATAAAGAATATTGCCAGTATTATATCAAAATGAATTCACTGATTGTATCACAAAATAGACACACTATTGTATGATAAGAATAATATATAAAATGTGATAAGAATACTTTCAAGTATCTTTCAACGTGAATACTCGACAATTTTACACTCTCTCGCGGAACGTTTATCGCCAAACTTTTTAAAACTCCGACCCTCTTAATCGGCCACGTACGATCATGTAGCTTGGATCGATCATCCGTTTTGTGTAATTTAAAACATTTACGAGAGTAGTTCGTATAAAGAAAACTTTGATACATAAAGTCAACTTTGGTTATTTTAAAACAACATTATAACTGTGATACTTCAAATCTACAAGCGTGATGCAATTTTCGGTATTATTTAAACATTACTATAATGTAGCATGTAAAATATTATACAAGAAAATCAGGAAGAGCTGATAATAACTATAACGATACCACAACGTAACGAATTTCATTGCAAAAGAGTCAAATATTTTTTATTTTACACAGGTATGATGGTTAGATATATTACGAGCTTCCAGTTGTAGCAAAGTACTAGCAATTTAAAAATTCAAGTTATAAAAATATAACCGCTTTTTTCAGTTGCAAATGTAATTACAGTTTGGAGAGAAACTGTAGTAAACACGGGTTTCCGTAGCGTACACGCGTTTATGCAGAGAGATAGATGGAAGGAAGAGAAATTTTTCCAACACTTTTCAAGACTAATGTAATTTTTATTTTGCGTGTACGAGAAGCGGAAGTAATGCAACTGACGTAAATTTGAAAATCGTGCTCATCCATAGCATCGTTAATAATCCCTGAGCATGACCCTTTTTCTTCCGTTCTGTATCTCTTGCGTGACGCGCGAAAGCCAGCGGCAGGCTGGTGCCGAATTAATTACGACGATAAATCATCCGATCTCCTGCTGACCTCTCTCGAGTCACTCCCCTCGATCTCGCGGCTTCATGCCAAAAATAAATCAAGTACTAATTTATTTATAAATCCCAATACTCATATCACTTCGCGTACGATATAAAGCGTCTTAACATCCATATCAACAGACAATATCTGCTTTTCGAAAAATATGAGTAAGTATATTAAATTTGACAGTAGTTCAATTGTGAACTATTGTTAGTTGAAATATATATACATACTAAAAGATAATAGAATACCAATAAAATCAAAAATAAATATATTCATATTTCATTATAAATAATTTGGAAAATGAACAGTTCAGCCTTATATTTTGTTATAATGTAACTATCATTTATACGTTAGTAATTTAATGAATATATTCTCAGATTTTTAAATCGCACATAATTTTTCAGGAGCTCGGATAACGCTAAGCAAGGCACTACGAAAAAGACAAAAGCGAAAATTTATTCGCGCTAAATGGCGGGGTTTGCTGATGGTAAACGTGGGATCTAGTTCGCGATCAAATTACAAACTGTCTCCAGTAAAGCGCTGAAAATTTTTATCAAATTTACCACGGAAACGAAACACTCGCTTCGCAATATCGGATATACTAAATAAAAAATAAAAGCCTTCTATAAAACATGTTTTATGTAATTAATACTCGTAGGCGCGCGCGCGCAAATGCATAAAAGATTTATATTTTATATTATCAAAGCGTACGTTATTCTTGGCTATTAATTGTTAAACTCATTCTTCGCTATTTTCTGTCGATCGATTGAGGTCTCTTAAATAATCATAATTCCATTGTCAAATATCCTATAGGAGGAATAATCAATGATAGCTTTAACTATCAACAATTGTTCCTTTAACAGCTTTATAATTATATTGTCAGAAACCTACAGCATACTCCTTCAATTATATCATAATTTTCCATCAGACTTATTAAATATGAATTCTAAAGATACGTTATGTAGCGTCATAATGAACATAGAAACAAAGGAATTATTGAATCGTGAAAATGGACTTTAGAAGAACGACTCTGGTAGACACAAAGAGCAACAAATGCGAGAAAGAAAGGCGAAGGCGCAATGACAGACGGGGCGGAAAACACTGGCATTTCCGCAGGCAAAAAGGCCATCACGAGAGATGCAAGAGGGATTCTCCACTTCCGCAGTTTCTTCTTCTTCCCGTCCTGCTACGACTGGCAACAACGATACCCACGGGAATCTGCGGCGTGAATGCAAAATCATACTTGCCATGACCACGCCGAGCTCTCTCTGGGGAGCAACAGGCCTGGTAATTACGAAATTATTACACGCCGTTCCCGCGATAGCTCTTGCGAAAACCGAGTAACGAGACTCGCTACTGACATTTTTGCATATGCAAGCAGCAGTTGCAACTAATGTTGTGTCAGTAGTAATTGATAGAGTTCCTCAAGTCAAATATCGGAATCAGAACATCGAGTGATGATTTTTTTTATTAATTCGCCATATGTAACAGCGGGACAGAATAAAACAATATTCCATTGTTGCTTTCTCATTTTATCTTAGGCAATCTCTCTCTCTTTCTCTCGACATCTAGCTCATTCTATCTTATTACAATAAAATAAAATAATAATAAAATAAATAAAAATCTACGTTCTTTATTAACTCTAACTCTTACTTGAAGAATTCTATAGTGATTCTTTAATCCTACACCTTTGGATTATTCCGATTGATAATGTACTAGACATCTTCAATTGCTTGTAACTTGGACTTTTATTGAATTACGATAATGTATGTGTATTAATATTCTTTTTAGTTTTGAATACAGAATTTAATAATATATTTTTAGAATAAGATTTATTCCACTTATTTAACAATAAACCGTTACTTAAGCTTTAAATTAAATTAACCAGTTACAGTCAAATGAGAAGAATAATTGACTATGGTTGTTCAATTCTTATGGCAAGACTTAAAGCTTAAGTAACGGTTTATTGTAAAAGCTCATAATATTTAACTTGACTACTTCAGAATTTACAGCTTTATTGAACAGATATAACAATCAATCTGCCAATTATAATTATAATTATAATTTGCAGATAATAAAAGCATAAATCAAGAGTTTTTTTCTCTAATACAAAAAAGAATTATTATCCTCATTTTTTTACTTTAATTCTTTATATTTAACAAAATACTTTTCTCACATTAAAATTCTTACATTAAAAATATATCATGTTAGAATCAATAATTATATAAAATATTCTAAAATTTAAAAAATTCAATAAATACAAAAGAAGGAACTGCGAGCCAAACTGGATGCGGCTGAATATTCAATGCTATGTATTAATAAATATATTATAAAAACATAACAAACGTTTCAACCTCTATCGGACCTCATTCTCAATATTCAAATTTATAGTTAAAATTAATAAATGCCGTACATTTCGAATGCTAAAATGCTTTTAAATGCGTAACATAAGCTTTGTGGTAATAATCACATTTTTGTGGTGACATTTTGCTGTTATCGGAAAAAATAAATTGGAATTCAACACGTTATTGCAGTATTATCAAAGCCTAAAGCGTTAAAATCGTTTACACGTATCTAAAATTTTTCCGATACGTGGACACCAGTTAAAATAATCCATCATATTAGATGAGACTACAAATATTTTCGACGCGGAAAATACATGTTTCTATGAGGTCCTCGTTCGCGGAATTTCGATCCGTTCCACGACGTATCCTCCTGTTATATGTGCGTTACGCAAGAGCTACAGAATAACAGAGCAGATGTAATATTAACGTGCAAATAAAAACGGGAAACACGGTGGAAGTCGCCGAGCGAGAAACGCGCACAAAGCGCAACAAACAAGCTAAGCCCGCGAGGCACAGGAATACGGACAAAGTGAGGAAATACATTGTAGCTCCTGATCATTGGAGAATAGTGAGCTGGGTAAACGCGGAATATTCCGCGACTTGCTCTTTATACCGCTAATGAATAGCAACAACGTAATTCTATCCCAGTAGTGTGTATCATGCAGCTTTTAATCCTCTTTCCCTTTTTCCCTTTAAAATGTTAGCACGATAAAATGTAACAATACAACATTATTTTACTATACTGCAGGACACTGTTACGCGTATTTCGTTTTAAAATATTGTGAAAAATAACATTTTTTGTACTCGACATATTTACTTGCTAAAACAAAATAATTTTTTATCAAACAGAATATTTTCCGCGAAACAAGATATCAGTTTGGAGAGAAATATTTTGCTGAATTCTATCGTATATACATACATTTAAAAATATAAAAAATTCTACATTTGCTCTTACAAACCTTAATGGTTACAGAAAAAACATAAAGTAATTAACTCGGTTAAA